AGCAATTTATTGGTCGATTTTATTTCGAAAAGCAATAGCAGAGCTTAGGAGACATCGTTTTTTTAGATTCACAACACTAACATATAGTATATACTTTGTTTCATTACTTTTTCGATTAAAAATATTTTAGAATATCTTTCAACTGATTTTGTTTTTAAGTGAATCTTCTTATTTGAGGGTGTTTAATGTTGGATGAGCAACCTTCTATGTGACTGAACCAATGACATGGTAACAGTCCCACATAAATGAACAGCAAGTAGACCAGCTGACAAAATTAAATTATGAATGTAAGCAAAAATCAGCTGTGGTATGAACATGAGAGCCCGAACCTAACGGTGCAATCTGAAATTCAAACAAATTTGGTGTGCTCCTATTGGTCAAAATTGTAAAATACACTCGCAATCGTCAGCAGTTGTTTTCCCTTCTTCTTATTTAAGCCCACCGGTAGGTCTTGGGCTTTAACAGTCGCCGTTTCTTGTGGTTCTCGGGGGACTCCAGGAATATTCTAATGGAAACAGAACTGAGGCTTTTGAAGCTGGGAATTTTAATTATTTATTCCGGTGTTTCTAGCACTTTTCTAGTTTTTTTGAATGACATTTTCTAGCCAAGGGGTTCTTCTAGCTATTGGCGATTTTTTATTCATTTTGAGTTTTCTAGCCTGTTCTAGTGCACTTTCTTGCTATTTATAGCAAATTTTCTAGCAAAGTTTCTGGTTTTTTTTAGAGGATTTTCTAGATATTTTCTACCTACTTATAATTGTGTTTGTAGCCACTTTTACCAATAACCGACAGCGGTTATCATAGTTTCTTAATGACGTCAATATGGTATATTCATGGTAGAGGTTGTACTGTCTTAAGCGTGGCTAAGACATCTAAAGTGAGATAAAGGCTGTGTAAAAGGAAGGGCAACATAATAAACTGAGCAACTGCAGGCTGCAGTTCGTGCATCAACACCAGGCAACAAGACAATCAGCAACTCGTAGCTCGGGTCTCATCCAACGCCACAAAAATAACCGAAAAGTAATTCGCCACAAAAGTAAACTTGAGCACACAAAAGTCGAGTTTTAAAATAAACTTGCAGGGACCAGTATTTTTCTTTCCTGCCTCTTTTACCCTTTTACTGGCCACATGCACTCCTTTTCTCTCCCCCCCGGGGGCACGTTGTGGGCGAGAGTCTGTGGCGGGTTGCGGCTTGGGGCACTTGAGGCACAAAGGCGCATTTGATATAAAAGAAAAGTGGCTAACTAAGTCGCCGTCGTCATCATTGATGTTGTTGCAGTCAGTTACAGTGCTCGGCGCTGGGCGCTCGGCGAGTCTGAGTGGCTGCCTCAAGTGTTGTCTACCAGCGTTTGCTTGCATCTCTGCCTGCTCTCCGCTCCACCCTGCTCCATCCCGCTCCATGCGTGCAATGGCACGCGCTGTCTTGTCGATTGTAAAATCCAGCAAGCGGACATTGAATGAACAAAAAATCAACAATAACAGCAACAGCACAACAAAGAATGAAACAAAATTGTGTAGCAGACCCTTGAAATTTGAAATTTAAACCAATCCATGGCTGAAATTCCGTTCTTATTTCTCTTTTCAGCAACTGTTGCCAAGTCTTGTGCAATTCACTGAAAACATGAATGCATAGCTGAAATAAAATGCATATCTGCATTGGTTTTGAGCACGTTCTTGCTAGGACAGAAGGATGCCTTCGGACAAGATTTTTGAAGCTACTATTAAGGTGCTTGCTGGAGAGAAATTGACAGCCAATATTCAATGCTACCTTTTTAAGAGAGCTTTCTGCGACAGGTTTGCAATAGACAGCTCGCTTATCCGATTGCAGACAAATTCGTTTGCATAAAATTACAAATGAAATAGTTTGATAATATATTAAGGGAAAAGGTATGAATAAATAATAAACAAAATATGTAAAGTAATAGGTAAAACAGTTTTTTATAATCACATCGCGTTGCGTGTCAACAAATGTACAAATGCTGGGATACTTTGTAGGATAAGCAGTATGTATATGAAATGAACGTTATTTTTGGAAGTGTATATAATTCTTATTTATGGGAGAAGGTTAAATTATATTCCATTTGAAATTATTGCATTCCAAAAAGACACCCCAACAAACATAAGTGGAACGTTGAAACATAAGTTCATGTGGATGTTTATATATATGTATGTACTATGCTTTGCAGACTAGAAAAAAAAGAAATGGAGATACACATTGATTTATCCCTTTTGGAAAAGAAGTGTATCTAAAAACACGAATGGATAGCAAAACAAAACCGTTTCATCACCATTACATAAATTTTATTGAATGATTAGCAAATACTTTTTAAAAAATGCCAGAGTAATTAAAAACAAACCCAATACTTTAGCAATTGATATCAGTGAGAAACATTTACGATGGAATAGAGATATGAGTTCCATTTGATTTAGACGAGTTTTATGTATGTTTCCCTGCTCGCACCCAGTCAGGGTCGCTGCAAGGTTGCGTCAACTAAACAAGAGCAGACAAAGATACTATGATGCAAGCCACAAGTGCAAGGAAACGAACTTGCGAAAACGGAATATACGACATATGTATGTACATGGTTATATTCAACAAACGGAAAACGGAAATACGCGTTCAAGAATTTTAATCTACATGCGCAATTTCGCGTGTGAGCTGTGTGCCAAAATGGCGGGCACATGTCAGAGCATTCCTGGCTCTACTACATTCAACCGAGCATTCTCCATCCGGCGGGCGCCACTGACAGTGTCCCCTTTCTCAACCCAAACCCAAACCCCAACCCCCACCACCACCACCAGCCTCAGCCTCAGCCTCAGCTTCAGCTTCAGCGTCGCGACCATCGGCGCCACATGTTTCGCTGCGGCTCGCCTTGGCATTTCACGCGTTTATTTGCAAAGATTACGAAATGCGCCGGGCACCCGCCAAAGTTTTGTATGCGTTTCCTGTACGCTGCCGGCATTCCCGTTACCATGGCCTGTACGTCTCCTTAGTTCTCCAGTCCTTTGCTCTCTCTGCACTGTTTGTTTGTCTCGCTGACTTGTTATGCATGCAGAAGTCTGCGTCTGTGGCAAATACAGGAGTCCTGTGAGGAGGATCTGTCAGCCTTTGAGTGACACGCAAAATATTTTTGCATAAAAATGTTTGCTCGCCAAGCACATCTTCAGCCAAAGCGAGACAATTGCATCTGTAGCTAGAGCTGTTCCCTATTTCGTTTAATGTGTGCACGCATTTTAAATTTTTAGGCGCTCCAATTTTTCAGCTGCTTGAATCATCAAATTCTCAACCGATATAAAAAATGTGCGTTAAGTATTTTTAATTTTGATATAACAACAACAATGACGAGCAAGTCCGTGATGTGAGCATCCTATAACTTCAATCTTTTGTTTCGTGGCACTTCTACACTTCTCATATGCTATATTCGCAAAAACACATGATAATTTATGTATTTACTTCTCCTGCTATTTAGTGCCCAACATTTTTTATGTACTCTAGTTAAAGACGCTACGTTCGCTACGTGTTTGTCATGCTAAGGATCTTATTAAGCAGTACAGTTGGAGGCCAAACATAAACGCTGCATATAATACCTTTGACTAACAATGGGTGTAGACATGAATACCAACAAATATAAAGATAGTATATACTCGTATAATATAGTGCTTACTAAACATTTTTAACGCTAATTGACTTAATATCGAAAAGAAGCACCTTAATAAATATAAACAAAACAAGGCATATTTTGTTTGGAAAAGCAGGTGCAGCACATTCTTCCGTCTATGGTGAAAAGGCGGGCTTAATTTTAAGTAACTAAGTCCACCAGCACTGTTAATAGCTTTGTTATCCCACTTGTGTATTTTTTTGATATAATTAATCGATGGATTTTAAGGGAGATTAATACTTTTGAAGCAATCTGCATTTTCACGAAGCACTTGCGAGACTGCGTAATACAGTTTTCTGAATATTTCCCAAATTTGATTATTTATATTAACCTTTATCTTTTCTCCCATATTTTATTTAAATAATGTTCGATGTCTAATTTAAAATATTTTGACAGCAATTATGTGATGCGTCTAATTAAGTCCGAATTGTGGCACAGCTGCCGGAAAACAAAATCACACAGAGTTAGACATTTTTTCAAAATTTTTACAAATAATCTGAATCTACTATCTTCCTTTTGCATACGATAGTAATAGTTCAAATTTTTATACCTTGTTCTTGTTCTTGTTTTCATTGAATTTGAGTTTGAAAAATCGAATGTTCAATGGCGTAGGAACTTCACTTCAATTTCTTACTGCAAGCTAAAACCAGTATTAAAATAGTACTAAATAGTATTTAAATTACTAGATAGTATTTAAATAATTTAAAATTGGATGTCCTTCTATTAACAAGCTCATGCAAAATGATATTTCTACTGGACTATTTTTTTTTTTTTTGAGGAACACATTGCGTATACGCTCTGCTGCAAAAAACATCTCTAAAATGTTGAGAAGGCTCAGGAACCATGCTAAGCCCATTGATATGCATAAGACCCTCCAGCGGAGGAAGGAGATGAAGGGTCGTTGTCCAGCAATGCCTGTGCGTTCTTAGCGCTTTCCTTTTTTCTGACATTCTCTGTTTGCAGGTTCAGAGAAGGCGGCAGCTGTTGAGCACCCCAAAACGCACATCAAATAAAAGAAATGGCTTTGTTTGCTGCATGTGGCATAGAATATCAACGCTGATAAAATGGGAAAGAGCACACCCACATGTGTACATACATATATGTATGTGTGCGGCTGTGTGCTGGCGCATAAATAATGTGACCTGCCTGACTGCGATTATCTGTGAACTATTTTTCACACGTTGCCAGCATACAAAGTGGCCATATATACATTTTTTAGCCGTATTATATGAGCTGCGTGACTTGGCCCTGCCACTTGGCGCATTAATTTGGCAATGCTTTGCAGCATTTCCACATAAACACACACACCCACTCAGGTGGATACTTTAATCTTTGTACTTACATTGTACTAAAATAATGAACAATAATATCCAGAGGCGTCGGTCGAATGTCGGTCTCATGACTTCATAACTTCTCCAGGAGTTGTTGTTGTTGGTATGATGGCGGCGTTCTTGAATTTTCAGTTTCAATTTCCCTATTTGGCACACATAACAGTCGGAGGAGAGGAGGATTGAAAAATCTGCAAAGAGACAAAATAAAATGTAATTAAATATCGCCATTTAGGGCAAAGGAGTAAATCGCACAAAGCATTCTAAGCCAATTACAACACAAGCCAGCTCTAAAAGGAAGCCCCACTCAAAACGATTTCACACACACACACACACACACAAATGGAGGGAATGGGGTTACCCATTGTCTGAAATCAAGCATCAAACGTTGCTAAGGTGACCAAATCCGTTGGTCATGGTGTAGGGTAACACAAAAAAATTAGCAACTGTTTGCACATGAAATTAATTAATTTTCAACAAAAACTTTGTTGCATAACGTTAGGCGGATTAACTGGGCAAACACACACACTCACACAATGTGAGGCTGGATGGAGAGACGCTTTTCGACAGCATTTTGTCTGCAATGTTTGAAGTGCAGCGCAAACAAAACGACGAGCCAACGAACGCTGCATACTTTTGTCACAGACTGTGCACGTGTTCCTAAATGTGCATACCCTCGTACGTATGTGTGTGTGTGTATGTAACTTGTGTGTGTGTGTGCCGTGCACACTGCAAAGAGCAAACAAAATTAGCAGTGGCATCAGCAACGGCAGCCAAAGCTTGCGAAGATTTTAACGAATTGACATTTTCCAAAGCTCGAGCCTGTGTCTGGCGCCTGCATCTAGACCATGTCTTATAAATGAGACAATTGAGTTGCCCAGCCAGATTTAAATACGTATATATAGTTGTGTGTGTGTGTGTGTGTGTCCAGGCGATGAACGGCTTAATTTTGTGTGAGGTAAGTGCGGCATAGAGGGACAGATAAAATGTCGGCAGGCAACTAAGCCGCATGTACTTAGAAGCGAATATAAATCTCTACTAACAGGACTAGTCCTGTTACAGAATTTGATCAGAAAAAAACTACATAGATGTGCAATTTCTACTAATTTTGGTTAGCCCACTTGAGGTTTATCTACTTTAGGATAGTTTTTAATTTTTATAGTTTTCGCTTTAAATCAAGCTACGAGTTCACTCGTAGTTGCCATATGTTTTGAAATTTTTGTCATGATCATTCATCTTTTGTTTCAACATTTCTATATTATACGAAGTAAATATATACGAATATTTTACATTTTATTGGCGTTAAAAGGGCTTATATGCTGGTTACAAAGTTAAGTTAAGAACACGCCAGAATTTCTATACATCGTAGTGTAGCTGATCTTTACCTTTTTGTTAATTTAACGCATTTTATATATTTGGGAGAGAACTGTCAATTTGAAAAAATTGAGACAAACAAAATATTCCTTCAGGCTTTCTTATCTCTTAAGTTGAAATTATAATATAATTACATATCTCCATTTTAATTTATAATACATATTATAATATAATCAAAATCATAGTTTTTAAATATATATCTACAGCACTATTTGTTGATTTACTAAATAAAATAAGCAACACAACGTACAATAATTATATAGGTTTATGTATGCAAGCTTGTTGTGCACACCTCAGAGAGTCAAAAAATGCTTAGAGATCCGGCAGATAGTGTCTAGAGAAATATTTAATTGGTTTTCTTTATAGCTCCCAATTTATTCTATCCATTGCCAAGCTCAGCCCCAGTGTGTAGATCCGATTGGGATTTTGCTGAAAATCCTAGTCGACAGAGGCAACGGGATAAGCGGTCGAAAGTCGCTTACATAACAGCAGGAGTAACAAGCGTAGGTCACATGGCAAATCAAAGACATACTCGTACTGTGTGCGGTTGGTTAACTGTGATGGCAACAAATAATGCAACTGCGAACATTTACATGACATAAAGAGCACATAACAACAGCAAAGCAAAGCAAAGCAAAGCGACAACAACAACGGGAACAATGGCCAACATTGGGCCAACATATCACGCGATCAATTTGTCAAACAAGCGCAGAACAGCAACAGCAACAGCAACAACACAAACACAGCATAAATGAAGTAACCACTGACGAACTGAATAAATGACAGCTGGCTGACTCCAATGGTCAGACAAGTAAGTGTCCGGGGGCCGGGGGAGCTGGGCCCGGACCATTGTGGCTAACAAAATTGACAGCAGCGATGTACGCCATTTGACGCACATCATCAATATGTGGCTCCTTGTTGTTGTTGTTGCGGTCGTTGTATGTAGTTGTTGCTATGGTTAGTGTTGTTGCGCTGGGCTTATGACATGTCACACAGCTGTCATTATGCAAGACATGCGAACGAAAACAAGCCCAAACGACAAACTATTACATTTGTTTGCTAGACGACAGGACCGAACCGAACCGAACCGAAGCCGAGCTATAGCCAGAGCCAAACTCAAGCAAGAAGAAAACCTAGAGTCGGGTGACTGGACTGTGACATACTCTGTACATATGTGTAGAATTTAATATTTAATTTAATCTTAAATAAAGATTACAGATTTACAAAAAAAAATAATAATAATAATAAAAATGATAAAACAAATTTTTAATAATTTGGAAACATAATAATATAATAATAAATATGGAGGAAAATTCTGAAATACTGCGCACTTATATAAAACATCTTGGACTAAAATTTGTTGTATCTGCCTCTCATACATAGTCTCCGAGATAAAGATGATTATACGAACGGCGTTGCCAAAAATCTGCTACATATAAGGGGAATATGGGAGTGAATAATAAAAAAATTAAAAATAAATAAAAATACAAACTCCCCCCTTGTACAAGTAGACATATAAGGCAACTGTGTACAAAAATTTGCCTCTGAAATTCAGGTGTTCGTACCGACGGACAGACAGACAAACAGGACTTGATCGACTCGATTTCGAATGCTGATGGAATATATACCTATATAGTTTGTGGGATCTGTTACATTTTCCACTTTTCGCAAACCTAATATACTCTTGAACCTTTTAGGTGCAGAGTATGTATAACAACACAACAACAATTAAAACAACAACAAACAAACGGTACAGCCGGGTCCCTAAGCTTAGCAACGCAGGCTCAACTGTAAATATGTGTCCATGTGTGTGTGTATGTGACCATATTTTAGTTGAAATGTGATCCAAACATACAAATTGTAAGACACACACAAACATAGGACGGATGGTGTGCCTATACATAATTCAGACATATGGCGAGTGTTTGCATAGAAACTGCGCTCAGTTGCCATTAGCTGCAGGTGTTGCTTGCTAGCCCCCTTACCCTACGATGCCGAGCTACCGAGATGTTGGGGGCCGGGGGACTTAGGAAAGGTTAGTTGTGAATTCCTTTTTGCACGTCTTTTTCAACAAGCTGTCGCAATATACGAAATTATGCTCGCCTTCGCTCTAAGTGTCGAAATTTATGAGTAAAAAGTTTAGAGCGTAGCAGTGTGAAAAATATACGCAAAAGGTTTCATATTTGTAAGTGAACTTGTAGTTGGTGCTGAAATCTACTTTAAGGTGAGCTTTTATCATCAAAATAAGTTGACATTTTTAACCTTGAATCTCATGCAATCAACCTGACAGAACAATTTAAAATAGCTCTTGAAACAATTTGCACCTATTCCATTGCTAACTCTATAGCAAGAAAGGGCCTTAATTACACCCTTCAGTCTATTAATTATGCAGGCTTGCAACTTGCTCGGCATCTTAATGAACCATAAAGCACAAAGCTGATAACTAAAAGCGCCAATTAAAACAAAATCTCAGGCATAGAAATGCATTTAATAAAATATTGTCATGTTCACAATTTTAAAGCCACAAGCTTCAGCAACAGCAATAACAACAATTTCATACAAGCGATGGTTTCACTGATGATAATGATGATGATGATAATCTGCATATAGCAACCAATACACATAAACAATAAATGCCAACTATATGTAAATTTTGCCAATTTACCGCAACAATGCAAAACTATCAACCGGATTGAAGGGAATGCCTTTTGGGATGGTTGAAGCTTTTGTTAAGTTGAAAACGTTCTGCACACAAACATTTTTTGGTTAACCGCAAAACAGCAAGCCACACACACACACACATACACACGCACACGCACACATAAGTATATTGATGTACAATTGGATGCAAATTAAATTTAAACAAATAGAGGAACAGACAATAAAAATTGTTGTTGCTTAAATGCAAAACAAAAATCTCATCAAGCATTTTCTAGACGAGTTCATTTCATTTCCAGTTGACAATAATGCCGCTTTAATTTGCATTGCCTGCTTTTAGGCACGAAGGCCAGAAGTTGCTTTATTATCTAGTTAAAACAAAAACCCAAACATGCGAGTGTACATATGTGCATGGAATGTGAAAATAATATTTAACTGCGGTCGTTGCATTGATTGCGCAAATGAAATGGTTTTGTAAATGCCATAAATTTGACAGCACATTCACACAAAAAACATCTGCATTTTTGATCATGATTTATGTGTGTAATTAAATTTTGGTATTTTTATCTTATCTTATTTGAGTTTTAAACCACTTTTAAAGCCACAACTTCAAATAACTTTCAAGTGCTAAGCTTAAAAAAGAACCACAACTCAATAAACCAAAAACAATTGAGCAAATTAAACGAGTCTTCGCTGTAAGAACTACTTAATTTATATTACGGTCTGATCACAAATAAGATTATCAATTCAGCCACAAATTTGATTTTTCGTTCGCTTCCTTTACAAATCGGTATAGTTTTACTTGCTGATGTTTCGATTCATTATAATATTCAATGATATTTCTGTTCACATCAATGTTGCTCGATATTTTGTGTATTTGTATTGTATCATAATTGGATAATTGGGCTAACCTTACCTCTTAATTGAAATAAATTACTTCAGTACAAAATGTATCAGACTTGTATTTCAAAGCAAAATTTTTAAAATTATTTGGAATCAGCCCTGGCACCACTAGACTAATATGTTTAATTCTTAATTTTTTTAACAGATATAATTGTGCTACATACTCGTAAATAATTAAAATTGCTTCAACTTCTTAAGAATACTAAACTGTAAAAACACATTTTATATCGAATTAAGTAGATAGGGTGTTATAAAC